CTTGGCTGTGCAGCAGTGCCAGTGCTGGGAAAGTGCCTGCTGTTTAGCCAGCTAGGGACGGAGGCGTCCCAGATGGCCAATTTGTCTCCCTCCCTGGAGGAGTTAGGAGAAAACTCTGCTTCTCCAAGCTCTTGTGGTAGGCCTAATGGCTGTCAGGTGTAAGTCTGCAGACATCCAGGTGCTTAATTGTCTCTGTGCGATGCTGTGCTTCAGTGGTCACGTTCCATGTCTACTCTCACGTTCTGCTTCCGCACCTGGTTCCTTTTTTCTTAGATGAGATAATCAGTAAAAGTAACATAAATCTTAATGTCTCTGTTCTTTCTCGACAAGTATGGAAAAAGTGCTGACGCATTCTGCTCTTTACCTCATCTCGGCTGCTAGAAATTCCTGAGCCCCTACCTGGATGACACATGATGTATTTGACCCTTTCACTGCCATGCCCTATCTACCCTGCCCCAGTCACCGACCACCAATGACATTCCCTACCTACCCTGCCCCGAGCTTTGTGCTCAATAAAAGTCAGAATGTGCGGACACTCAGGGCCACTGCCAGACTCTGTGCTTTGGTTGGCATGGACCCCTGGGCCCATACTTTCTTTTCTCTATCTCAGTGTCTTGTGCCTTTAATTCTATAATTTCTCACGTCCACACCAGTAGAGAGGGCTTGCAAGGACACTGCAGGGCTGGACAACTCATCTGCTTTTGATTCCTCATAATTTTAACTTTTCTAGAAATGTCATTTAAGTTGGATCATATAATACATAGTTTTAAATATCTGGCTACTTTAACTTAGCCTAATGCATTTGAGTTTAGTCTGTGCTGTTATTTTTTATTGGCGGAGTAGTATTTCATTGCATGGTGATATCACATTTCGTTTTTTATCCATTCACCAGTTCATATTGCCTCCAGTTTGGGGTTTTTATAACTAGCATTGCCACAAATATTTGCATACAAGTTTGCATGAACATGTTTTCATTCCTACTGGAAAGAAACCTGGCAATGGAATTGCTGGGTCTTGTGGTAGATGTGTAGTTAATTTTTAAAGAAACTGCCAAAATATCTTCCATAGTGGTGTACCATAAATCCTTAGATTTTATCTTAGCATAATGGGGAGCCATTAACAGGTTTTAAGCTGGGAAATGATATAGTTACATTAATTTTAAATCATCTGATTATGGAGTGAGGACTGAGTTGGCAAAATTAAGACTGGAAATAAAGACACCAGTTAAAACAATACTGCAATCATCCAAGTGGACAGTTAGGGCTTGAATCAAGAACTCTGGGAATATATAAGTAATCATTAAATATTTAAAATACAAAAAAGCAGGAGAGAGAGAGAGAGACAGACAGACAGACAGACAGACAGAGAAACAGAGAGAGAAACAGAGAGAGAGAAACAGAGAGAGATCACTATATATTTGTAAAACCCAAAGAGTAGATGCGACCCCTCAGGGAGAACATGCATCCAGAGTACAGCTATGAATCAAGGAAGAAACCCTGAGCATCACCAAAAATTAAAGACTAGGCAGGGAAAGAACTAACAAAAGACCAAAACAAACAAACAAAACCAGAAAGTAAAGGAAGAATCTGGAAAGAAAGAGGTCTTAACAGTCAAGAAAGTTTCCTTAATGAATATAAGCAAGCCCAGAGAATGGGCAAGGAGGTAGCAGTAGGGTGTGGCTGAAACAATCATTTCAGAGTCATCAGAATTAAAGAGTTAGATAGGTTCCAGCAGTGCAAACTGCTGTCTATGTGATGTAGATTAATATAATGGGCTTAAAGACAAAATAAGCACATTCCAAAGTACACTAAGAATAAGGTAATAGGATCTACATCATTATATTTCTTTTTTCAGACACATTTTATATATTTATTTATTCGTTTACTTTTTTCTCCTTTTTTTTAAATTACACTTTAATTTCTGGGATACATATGCAGAATGTGCAGGTTTGTTACATAGATATACATGTGCCATGGCAGTTTGCTGCACCCATCAACCCATCATCTACATTAGGTATTTCTCCTAACACTATCTCTCCCCTGGCCACCCACCCCCTGAAACGCCACAGTGTGTGATGTTCCCCTCCCTGTGTCCATGTGTTCTCACTGTTCAACTCCCACTTATGAGTGAGAACATGTGGTGGTGTTTGGTTTTCTGTTACTGTGTTAGTTTGCTGAGAACGATGGTTTCCAGCTTCATCCATGTCCCTGCAAAAGACATAAGCTCATCCTTTTCTAAGGCTGCATAGTATACCATGGTGTATATGTGCCACATTTTCTTTATCCAGTCTATCATTGATGGGCATTTGGGTTGGTTCCAAGTCTGTGCTATTATGAATAGTGGCACTCTACTCACATCCTCATATTTTTGTGTGCAATATTTCCCTCTCTCATCTCACTTTCTGCCTATAGAAATATCATTTGGAAACACAGGAAATGCTCATTAAAAAGTAGAGTAATTGATGGCTGTGGGGCACTAGGACTTGTGACCGTTTTTTTCCATCCGTTCAAGGTAAGCACTTCATCTTCACAGAAAGCCAACGTCAGGGGTAAACTGCAAGCTGATGGATATTTGAAGATATTTAAGAGACTTCCTATATGTATTTCACACCTCTGTATAGTCAGTTCTCCATATAGCATTTTATGTCACCAAATGTGGCAGCCAAGCTCTATCCTGAGATAAATGTTCTTCCTTCCTAAGCCAAAGCAAGCTACTGGCACCATGCTTATAGATGCAATAATATATCATACGCTTTACCTTAGGTAACAATAAGGAAGAGATATGAAGAGGCTTCAGAGGTAGTCGTGAAAGTGGATGGACAACCAGGGGGCATGCAAAAAGAGACCCAAGACCCTTCATCTTATACAGAAAATTCACTGACTTCTCTATAGAGGAAATAAAATTCCTGTTTACTGACAAATTAGGAATAAAAATATAACCACACAAAGCTCAAAGATGAATTCCTCTCTGAGGTATGAAATTTGAAGATTAATATCTGTAGAAATTCTGTGATCCAAACCAAAATTTTAAAAAGCCTCCTAGTGACAGGGAAGACATACATATCCATCTATTCATCCATCCACATAAAAACACACAAACACATTTCATTTATAATCTTGGGCTGAATGCCTTGAATGCTAAGCAGCTCATCACTGCCTAAGAAGGCTATGCACTGACAGATGCTCTACTCTGCTTCCACCCTATGCTGTGAGGTCTGCTGCCTGCACTGCAGCTGATTCCCTGCAGATACTCAGACCTCACAGGCTCATGCTGAAGCAGACAAGACATTGCGGAGGATCCCCTACCACACAAATTCCTGACTTGTTTTCTTCCCACAGTCTCAGATATCAGAACTGTACCTGTTCTCTGCCCTCACAGGTTATAAGTATGTACCAGGAAAGGCTGCTGCAATAGATGAAACATATATACAGAGTGACGTCACTACATCCCACACCTCCTACCTGCTAACTTAAGCCCTTTCTTTCTCACTATGCTTTCCATATGTGGAAAGAGCTGCCAGCTTTATCTTCCCATTTCCTACTGCTCGATCAATTCTGTGCCAATATAGTTGTCCCTCAATGTATGCAGGGGATTGGTTCCAGAGCCCCTGTGTATACTAAAATCCTACATACCCAAGTCCCTCAGTTGGCCCTGTGGAACCCATATACACAAAAATTTAGCCCTCTGCACAGGCAGGGTTCACATGCCATTAATATTCTCCATTCCATCCACATTTGGTTGAAAAAAATCCATGTATAAGTGGACCCCACAGTTCAAACTGGTATTGCTCAAGGGTCAACTGTAGTTATATGTTATACTCTTACATAAATACAAAACTTACACACAAATACATTTTTAATATATATATATATTAAAAGGAGCATTTTGTAAGTAACAGGTAGCATTCAAAAAATAACAGGGACATTTCTGGATTTTCTATAGATTCAGGGTTGCTTATACTCATACATTAAACTAAGAACAGGTGCCAAATAGTATTGCAGGATTCCAACCTGGCACTAATGGCTTCCTTTTCTTTCAAGTTTCTGTCTAGTGCTTTTTAAGCCATGTAGAAGACTTGCTCTTGAATGAGTTGATTGTTTGCAGAGCTCTGATGAAAGTATGTCAAAAAATAAAATACAGAAAGGACACAGGAAACAATATTCTCCTTTTAATTCTGCTTAGGCTTAGTAATGTGCTAATGTCAACATCTGCCAGTGAGTGGTAGGTAGTGAATACCAGGATTCTGAGAGGCTATCCCCTTAGTTGTTCAAGTGATATCTCAGAGGAAGAAACAAGAAATGTTCAGAAAGAAGACTTTTAAGAGACTGGGTACCCCTTCTCATGATGTGGCAAAAGTGAAGCAGAACATGTACCAGGAAGGGAGCCCCGAGGCAGTGGTTTTGAAGTTCCTTGTCCTTTAGCTCTGGAGTATAGGGCAAAGAAGAATACATTACTCTATTGAGGTGTAATTTATATCCCATAAAGTTCACCCATTTAAAGTATACAATCCAGTGATTTTTAGTCTATTTATGGAGTTATGTAATCCTCACCATACTCTAATATTAGATAGCTTTTGTCATATCAAAAAGAATTTTTTTAGCCATTAGCATTCACTGCCCACTCTTGGTAATCACACATATACTTCTGTCTCTATGGATTTTCCTCCTATGGATATTTTATATAAACAGAATCATATAATTATGTGGTATTTGTTTCTGGCTTGTTTCACACAGCATAATGTTTTCCAGATTCCTCATGTTGTGACACATATCACTGTTTCATTCCTTTTATAGCTGAATAATATTCAATTGTATAGATATACCATATTTTGTCTACTCATTCAACTATTGATGGACATTATGTGCTATTTACTAGGTTGACAACTGTGGGCAAACTGTCTTATCTCTTAACTTTCCTGCTATGTGAATAACTAAAAGCTACCTCACAGGGCAGTTATACTTGAAGTTATGTGAAGATTCTACAATATAACTGAGTAACTGCTTTGTCAACGGTAAAGTTGACGTCATATGAAAACTCACGAATATAGTGACAATAAACTTCCGAAATGCTTCTGAGACAAACATGTGCCTAAAGGAGGAAACACAGACACTTTCAAAAAATCCAGGTAAATTATAAGTATAAGCAATTAATCTAAATGGCATCATTCCAGATGATCTTCAAAAGCAAAATAATGTGCTTTTGTTATGGAGTGATGAATTTGAGATTTACATTTCAAAATTTAATTCTCTACTGACAGTGCATTTTCTAGAAGGGACCTGTATTAAGTTTTCTTATCAAATCAGTTCTTGTTGCCAGAGTTCTTTAGTACATTGGTTCACTGAGCTGGCAAGTAGAGGTTAAGTAAGAGAATATGAGGAAAATAAACACATTCATTAGCCTATGCAGTCTAGTTTTGTTTTGTTTTGTTTTGTTTTGCACAAAATGAAGGATTACATTTCCGATTTGGGGTGAGGGTTATAGAAAAGAGGTCTGGCCACCCATCAAAAGAGAGTCACTGCAGAAGCAAACTTGTGCTTTTGATGGGAACATATCATCCCATGGGTACATACTTGTTCTCAAGAGTGGGGAAAGCAGCAGTAGTGAGAACTGCCAAGGATGTTAGGGGTGAAGTAAACAGGTGTGCTATGGTCAGACAGCCAGGTGGTACAGAGAGAGGGCTGAAACCCAGGTCCCCTGATTCCATACCCAGTCAAACTCCTGTTCCCAGGAAAAATCTATTTGGATAGGCTATAATCAACATGCAACTTCAGTGGGTAAAAAATCCTTTGAATTTTTAAAAATTTGCTTCTCATAAGTGTTTATATTGCTAAAAGCTATTGGTAAACATTTTCTTGGAAGTGAGCAAGAATTAATTAAAATCAATTAGGTTTTACTGTCCTTCAATAATAAATACATAACCTCCTTCCTTTGCCTGTAGGCCTATTGAATCACACTGTCACTAGGCCAACTATGCCCTTCCCCATGAAGACTTCCAAACCCCTCTGTGCTCCCATGGCTCTTGTGCCTAGCTGCTCACCACTTGTTAGACAGCACTTTAAACTATCATTATTTATATGAATGTCTCTCCACATTTTTTGAGTTCCTGGAAGGCAGTGATTTTGATCTTATTCATCCCTCTTTCCCAGTGTCCAGTGCAGGCCTGATATAGGCTCTAGAATGCATTCACAGACAAGGATGCACTGGGACAGTATACCAACCTCTGTACTAATGTGATTTGCTTATTCTTCCTTTAACTTCCAATTTCTAATCAATTCTCTTCGATATAATTCCCTGAACCATCGCTGTATTTGTCTTCTTCTCTTTCCCACCAAATTCCCCTTTTCCAGTGGCAAACTTTGAGGGAAAAAGGCAGTTATAGAAAACAGAGTAATTAGCAACAACTCTGGTCACCATTTCCAACAGCATCAACTTAAACAGGTTCTTTTTTATAGGGTAATATTAATGTGCTTGTTTGATTGTTGGTGAGAATATGATGAAGTCAGAAAAAAGAATGAAAGTGAGTTCGCCTACTGAACAATCATATCATTCAAAACAGTAATGATCAGACACAACAGTCAAATGTTGTCTTTTTTTTTTTTTTTTAGAAATGGAGTCTCACTCTGTGGCCAGGGTTGGAGTGCAGTGGCGTGATCTTGGCTCACTGCAACCTCTGCCTCCTGGGTTCAAGCGATTCTCCTGCCACAACCTCCTGAGTAGCTGTGATTACACCACTATGCCCAGCTAACTTTTTGAATTTTTAGGAGAGACAGTGTTTCACCATGTTGGTCAGGCTGGTCTCGAACTCCTGACCTCATGATTTGCCCGCCTCAGCCTCCCAAAGTGCTGATATTATAGGTATGAGGCACTGTGCCCAGCCGTGTTGCCTTTTTTATTCCTTGTTTCCCTACCACAGTATCTCCTCCTCTGCCATCACAGCTGAGAACTTGACTATCTTCTAATTTCTGCCACTTGTTCATTTAAAAATAGATATTGAATGTCTTTTGTGTGTCAGGGAGCGAGGATACTGTGAGGATGATGTGCAAAGGCCCGGGACTAAATAGGTGAAGCATGGCTCCTTCAAGAGACCAGCACTGCTGAAGATCAGAGAGGGAGAGAGAGAGCACTGGAGATGAAGCTGAAGACACTGGCAAAAGCCAGACCCTGCAAGCCTCTCTGGACCAAATGAAGGCTTCCATCCTAAGAGCAATGAGGGAATCTATTAGTCAGCTTGGGCTGTCATAAAAAAAAATACCAGAAACCAGGTAACTCCAACAACAGAAATTCACTCTCATGTGTTTCAAGAACTAGAAGCTCAAGATAAGGGTGCCAGCATAGTTGGGTTTTGGTGAAGGCTCAATTGGTTTGCATGCAGCTGCCTTCACCTTCTCACTGTGTCCTCACATAAACTTTCCTCTGTGCTTGTTTCGAGAGAGAAAGTTTCTCTCTCTCTCCATCTCTAACCCCCTCCCCGTGCCTCTCTCTCGCTCTTCCTCTTTCTCTTCTTATAAGGGCACGAATTCCAATAACAGGGTCCTACCCTCATGAACTCATATAACCCTAAACACCTCCCGAAGGCCCCATCTCCAAATACCATAACACTAGGGGTTAGGGCTTCAACATATATTTGGGGGGACACAAACATTCAGTCCATAGCAGGGAGAAACATACGATTTATAATTTTAAAACATCACTCTAGATATACTTAGTGCAAAGCCACTCAGCCAAATAACTGCTTGGCATAACCAAAGGACACCGCTTTAGGAAAAGGTATCATTACTGACATAAGGGCTACACCACGTTTTGCTTTCATTTGCAGAACCACAGAATCGTGACTGTCGCAGGGCTCATGGGCACAAGCACATATGGCTCTCTCTGAAAGAAGTTGTGCATGCCTCAAGTCCCAAATGTGCTAATAAAAACATCCTGCTCTCTAAGTAAGCTTAGTGGGCACTTATTTAAAAAATTGTTTTTGTCCCTTTGTTCGGTTCCTCTCCTTGCACAGCATATTAAAATCTCCAGTGAGACTTAATTTTCTGAAGTCTAAGAGAAATTTTCCCAATGGATTATTTTATAGTTCCCTAAAAATTTTGCCTCTTTGTTGAATAGCCATCCACATACATCATATTTAAAGCAACTTAGAGCTTGTTTGACCTGTCATTTAAAATTCAGAAGAGTATCTTCAATAGATGCAGAAAAGGCCTTCAATAAAAATTCAACACCCCTTCATGCTAAAAACACTCAATAAACTAGGTATTGATGGAACATATCTCAAAATAATAAGAGCTATTTATGACAAGCCCACAGCCAATATCATACTGAATGGGTAAAAGCTGGAAGCATTCCCTTTGAAAACCAGCACAGGACAAGGATGCCCTCTCTCATCACTCCTATTCAACATAGTATTGGAAGTTCTGGAAACAGCAATCATGCAAAAGAAAGAAATAAAGCATATTCAAATAGAAAGAAGGAAGTAAAACTGTCTCTGTTGGCAGATGACAATATTGTGTATTTAGAAAACCCCAACGTCTCAGTCCAAAAACTCCTGACACTGCTAAGCAACTTCAACAAAGTCTCAGGATACAAAATCAATGTGCAAAAATCATGAGCATTTCTATATACCAATAATAGAGAGCCAAATCATGAGTGAACTCCCATTCACAATTGTTACACAGAAAACAAAATATCTAGGAATATAACTTAGAAGGGATGTGAAGAACCTTTTCAAGGAGAACTACCAACCACTACTCAAGGAAATAAGAGTGGACACAAACAAATGGAAGAACACTCCATGCTCATGGATAGGAAGAATCAATGTCATGAAAATGGCCATACTACCCAAAGTAATTTATAGATTGAATGCTATCTCCTTCAAAGTACCATTGACTTTCTTCAAAGATTCAGAAAAAAACTACTTTAAATTCATATGGGACCAAAAAAGAGCCCATATAGCCAAGATAATCCTAAGCAAAAACAACAAAGCTGCAGCACCATGCTACCTGACTTCACACTACACTACAAGGCTACAGGAACCCAAAGAGCATGGTGCTGGTACCAAAACAGATATATAAACCAATGGAACAGAACAGAGCCCCCAGAAATAATACAGCTACAACCATCTGATCTTTGACAAACCTGACAAAAGCAAGCAATGGGGAAAGGATTCCCTATGTAATAAATGGTGTTGGGAAAAGTGGCCACCCATGCACAGAAAACTGCAACTGGATCCCTTCCTTACACCTTATACAAAAATTAACTCAAGATGGATTAAAGATTTAAATGTAAGACCTAAAATCAGAAAAACCCTACAAGAAAACCTAGGTAATACCATTCAGGACATAGGCATGGGCAAAGACTTCATGACTAAAACACCAAAAGCAATGGCAACAAAAGCCAAAATTGACAAATGGGATGTAATTAAACTAAAGAGCTTCTGTATAGCAAGAGAAACTATCATCAGAGTGAACAGGCAACCTACAAAATGAGAGAAAATGTTTGCAATCTATCCATCTAACAAAGGCTAATATCCAGAATCTACAAGAAACTTAAACAAATTTACAAGAAAAAAACAACCCCATCAAAAAGTAAGCAAAGGATATGAACAGACACTTCTCAAAAGAAGACATTTATGCAGCCAACAAACATGAAAAAAAAAGCTCATCATCACTGGTCATTAGAGAAATGCAAATCAAAACCACATTGAGATATCATCGCATGCCAGTTAGAATGGCGATCATTAAAAAGTCTGAAAACAACAGATGCTGAAGAAGATATGGAGAAATAGGAACACTTTTATACTGTTGGTGGGAGTGTAAATTAGTTTAACCATTGTAGAAAACAGTGTAGTGATTCCTCAAGGATCTAAAACTAGAGATACCATTTGACCCAGCAATCCTATTACAGGATGTATACCCAAAGGATTATAAATCATTCTACTATTAAGACACATACATACGTATGTTTACTGCAGCACTATTAACATTAGCAAAGACTAGGAACCAACCCAAATACCCATCAATGATAGACTGGGTAAAGAAAATATGGCACATATACACCATGGAATACTAGTCAGCCTTAAAAACGAATGAGTTCATGTTCTTTGCAAGGACATGGATGAAACTGGAAACCATCATTCTCAGCAAACTAACACAGGAACAGAAAACCAAACACCACCACATGTTCTCACTCATAAGTCGGAGTTGAACAGTGAGAACACATGGACACAGGGAAGGGACATCACACACCGGGGCCTGTTAGGGGATGGGGGACAAGGGGAGCAATAGCATTAGGAGAAATACCTAATGTAGATGATGGGTTGATGGGTGCAGCAAACCACCACAGCGCATGTATACCTATGTAACAATTCGGCACATTCTGTACATGTATCCCAGAACTTAAAGTATAATTAAAATAAACAAAAAATTTAAAAAAAATAAAATTCAGGAGAGTATCTTTAAGTGGAAGGTTTTAGATACCATCATTCTTCTGGAAATGAAAGTTATGAAGCACAAAATAAGAGAGGAAAAACCACTTTTGATTTAATTACTGTGGTACATCATCTCTTCTATTAGTTAAATACATACACTCTTCCTTTATTTTCATTATGAATTTATTTTCCTCAGGATATGATGAACACACCAAGGTAGAAACCAGATTTTAGGCACCATAAGAGTCAAGTTCCTGAAGAATGAAAAGTTAAGGAGGAAGATTAATTTCACAAAGATATCTGGTGCATCATTTCAAACTCAAAAATGTAAATACTTAGCTTTTAAAAAGCAAACATTTTGCCATATTTGTTACTGATATTTTCAAATAAAGAAATAATGTATAACAAATACAATGAAAGCCCCTTTTATGTTCCCTGTCTTCCCTGAGATAACTATTCTCCTCCTCCCCAGTGACAGTTTTATTCTTTTACTACCCACATGTCTGTCTTAGTCTGGAGTCCTGCAAAACAGAGTCTGGAATAAGGATAAGGGGATGGCAGACTATCTGGGTGATGGTTCCAGCAAGCAGAGGGAAGGAGCCAGAAGAGAGAGGCAGGGCAGGGAAAGGCAGGGTCAGTAAAGGGCACGTTCTGGAGCTGGTTACCAAGTTGGGCAAAATGGCTCAATCCTGCTGGGTCCCCGTGAGGGACCATGCAGAACATGCCTCAGCACTGTTCCTTAGATGAAGAGGAAGATATGGAAATCATCATCCACAGATTCACATTCCCATCGGTTGTAGTTGCCTCCAGTGTGTTAAGCCCTGATGTTTCAGGCTGCCCCCAGGAAGAGCAGAGGTTCCAAGCCACAGGAATAACTCCTAGGGCAGGAAAGTTAGAGGAGGCCTTCAGGGAGCTGTCCACTGAGCTTGGGCTGGAGGGCATGACTCTGGGCGCACAGATCATCTGTACAGCAGAAACCAGCAAACATTTTTAGTAAAGGAGCAAACAGAAATATTTTAAAACTTGAGGGTCAGGTAGAGTCTATGTAACATGTTTTGGTTGTTTTCACACTTTTAAAATGTAAACATCATTCTTAGCTTGTGAGTTCTTCAAAAACAGCCCATGGGTCAGATTCAGCCTACATATTTTAGATTGCTGACACTTGTATATGGTATTCATAAGCAACAAAAATGCATTTGCTGTTTTTTAACTTACATAAACAGTATATAATACCATACCATTTACAACTTTCTTTAACTTGTTAGCCATCAAACTTGTATATGTTGCTCTCTGTAGAGGCAGACTATTCATCTTAACTGATGCATTGTGTTCCACTCTAAGACTATATTCACATTTATTTCTTCATTTCCCCATTGATGTATATTTGGGTTGTTTTGCGTTTTTCACTATTACAAAAAGTACAGCAACAAGCATCTCTCTATGGCTGCCATCTGCTCCTCGTGAGTGAGAGTTTTCCCTGGAATCTATGCCTTGCAGTATAATTACTGTGTCTAGAGTGTGACTATATAATCTTCAACCTATTTTGTTACTGCTACATTTTTCCCCAAAAGAGTTAAACCAATTTATAGCCCTACCTGCAGTTTACCAAAATTTCTGTTTCTCCACATCTTCCCCAATACTTTGTCAGACGTTTTAATTTTTGCAAATCTGATAAATATAAGTTTATGTTATATCATTTTTAAATGTCATATTCCTAACAGGTGGAACATCTTTGATGCTAATTGATCTTCTCCGAGTCCCTATTTTATAGCCTGCCTAGGCATATCATGCATCTATTTTTTGTTGTTGCTGCTACTGTTGTTTGTTCTGCTATTGGGTTGTCTCTTTTTATTCATGTGTTGCATAGTAGCTCCTCATACCCCTTTTATTTTTAAAAGTTCTAGCTCACTATGTTTACGCTGGGTCAGCAGAGTGGAAATCTATTTCCATAGCCAGCAAAGCTTCAGAGTGCCCAAAGTCCCCACTGTTTGCATAGCTCTTTTTGAGTAAAAATCAACATATCACTTGAAAAATATGGTATCCATCTATTCATTCATTCACAGACATTTATTGAGTACTTACTATGAAGGAGCATTCGTAATACTACAGACAGGGAACATGAAGATATAAGAGGTCACAGCCCGATGAACACATTCAATGACAATGAAGGATTAGTCCATCAGATAAGGTAAATGTCATTCTGCTGGAGAAAAAGCCTTAACAAAGCACACAAAGAAGGGGAGTCTTCTGGAACAGTGGTATGAGATTAGCAGATCCTCTCTTGGTGCAACCACTATTTACTTAACTGGTGAAATTGTTTAAAACAAACTAAAGAAACATTTAAAGTTTCTGGAAACTTTACTAAGAGCATACGGCAAGTGAAGAAACATCTCTTCAAGAAAATATACTACATCTTGGTAAGAATGGCAAGAACCTGTGGCACTGGAGCCATGACTTGCTCCCACACCCTCCCTACACCCCTACTGCCAGGTCTGTGTGATGGAAGCTTTGCTATGGGAAGATATGGTCAAGAACACAGGGGTTCCCATTCTCCCCATCTCCTAGTCTAGGGCTAGAGTTTCACCTGAGAGGGGCAGGCTGCCAGTGCCTCTCACTACCTACTCAACCCCCAGCCATGTGCTGTGGATGC